TCGGAGTTGGGCCAGAAGAGCTCCGGGCTGCCCACGAGATAGGAGGGCGCGCCCCTAGGGGGGCTATCTTGTGGATGGCCTGTAGACCCTCCTGACGTGAAACCAACGCCAATAATTCCTATAAATACTGAAACTTTCGGGAATTAACCTAGATCGGAAGTTCCGCCGCCGCAAGCCTATGTAGCCACGAGGAATCGATCTAGGCCCTCTCTGGCACCCTGCCGGAGGGGGCCATCATCACCGGAGGCCATGGAGGAGGATCTCGGAGGGGCCATCATCTCCATGAAGGCCAAGGACCAGAGGGGGAAAGCCATGGAGGAGGAAGCACAAGGGGGAGAAACTCTCCTCCTCTCTCTTGGTGGTATCGGAGTGCCATCGGGAGGGGAATCATCGCCGCGGTGATCGTCTTCATCAACATCACCATCATCATCACCATCCTCATCTCTTTTACGCGGTCCACTCTCCCGCACCCCGCTGTAATCCCTACTTGAACATGGTGCTTTATGCTATATATTATGATCCAATGATGTGTTGCCATCTTATGATGTTTTGAGTAGATATCTTTTGTCCTTGAGTTGATTGATGATCTAGATTGGTACGAGTTGTATGTTTTATTTTGGTGCTGTCCTATGGTGTCCTCAGTGTCGCGCAAGCGTAAGGGATTCCCGCTGTAGGGTGTTGCAATATGTTCATGATTCGCTTATAGTGGGTTGCTAGAGTGACAGAAGCTTAAACCCGAGTAAGGGGGTTGTTGCGTATGGGATAAAAGGGGACTTGATGCTTTAATGCTATGGTTGGGTTTTACCTTAATGAATCTTTTAGTATTTGCGGATGCTTGCTAGAGTTTCCAATCATAAGAGCTTATGATCCAAGTAGGAAAAGTATGCTAGTTTATGCCTCTCCCTCATATGAAATTGCAATGACGACTATCGATCTTGTTAACAATTGCTTAGGACAATTCCGCACACCGATCCACCATTATTCCACACTCGCTATTTATGTTATTTAGTAATATATTCTAACTTTATGATAACAGCACCTACTTTTATGTTTTAGCTCTCCGATGTCATACAAAGTTGTCCTCTTCATACCCACAACACAGTTTTATTTCTTGTGTCTAGTTGGAAGCAAACGTTTGGTGCATGTAGAGTGTATCAGTGGCAGATAGGGCTTGAGAGAATATTGATCTTACCTTTAGCTCCTTGTGGGTTCGACACTCCATACTTATCACTTCCACCTTTGGGAATTGCTACGATGATTCCCTGCACTTGGGGATTATCAAGCTCTTTTCTGGCGCCGTTGTCGGGGAGCAATAGCGTGGGGTTGATATTCTCGTGTGTGCTTGTTTGCTTTCTTTACTTAGTAGATTTTGTTTTTCCTTTTTGTTCCTGTTTAGTTGTGGGTGAAACATATAAAACAAAATTAAAAATAATGAAAATACCAAAAATGATTTGCTTGCCTCTCATGCCTAAAAAAAGTTTTTCAAAAAGAGAAGTGATTGGAAAGTTATGCATTGAAGAAGTGAGGGTCGACCTTGAGCACTTGTGTTCATGCTCACGGAAACAATGTAGAATTTTTCATGGAAGTTTCTCTGTAAATAATTACCCGCTTGTATATATCCTTTGTATTATAAAAATAATGTGCCAAGCTTTGGTTTTAGCATGTTAAGATTGCTTGTTTACTATGTGCAGAACAAAAACAGAAACTTTGGCTGTAGTGCATGAATTTACATTTTTTAATGGAAAGTCAAATGGGTCTGAAACTTTCTGCACATTACTTCTGTACAAATTTTTCAAATTGTTAAATTTACTTAATAATTTTTGGAGTTACAGAAGTTTACTAAACTTCCAGATTACTACAGACTGTCCTGTTCTTAACAGATTCTGTTTTTTTCGTGTGTTGTTTGCTTATGTTGATGCATCTATGGCTAGTATCGGGGGGTATGAACCATAGAGAAGTTGGAATACAGTAGGTTTAACACCAATATAAACAAAGAATGAGTTAATTACAGTACCTTAAAGTGGTAGTTTGCTTTATTACACTAACGGATCTCACAAAGTTTTTGTTTAAGTTTTTGTGAATGAAGTGTTTGAAGAACGAGGAGTTACCGATGTGAGAAGAATAAAGAGAGACAAGAGTTCAAGCTTGGGGATGCCCAAAGCACCCCAAGTAAATATTTCAAAGGATACTCAGGCATCTAAGCTTGGGGATGCCCCGGTTGGCATCCCATCTTTCTTCTCCAACAAATATCGGTATACCTCGGTTTTTGTTTTGTTCACATGATTTGTGTCCTTTGTGTTTGTATTTTCCTTTAAGATTCATGCTAGTATGAGCTAGCTCTTCATTGATTTACAGAACGCTTCATGTGCTTCACCTATATCTTTTAAGTATGATCTTATAGAATTGCTCGTTGTGCTTCACTTAAATCGTTTGAGTATGGTTTTATAGAACTAGTTGACCCGTTGCGCCAAATGGCGCAGAGACCTGCTGAAGACATGTTGTCGATGAAAATAGTTTCATGCTGCAAGAACCATCAACTAAAGCCATGTTCGCGATGAAAATAGTTTCCTTTACTAAGGACAGGCCATGTATATATAGTCGGTTTAGTTGTGGTCTGCTAAATCCGACAGGCCATGTATATAGATTCGGTTTAGTTGTGGTCTGCTAAATCCATATGCGCCTTGAAAAAAAACATGGTTTAATTTGCAGAGCCTCACGTGTTTGAAGTATGAATAAGAACTACGAACTATTTTTGTGCGATTCAAATACATTTCCAGAGTTTTTATTTCTTAGTACATGTTGTCTAAAGTAACATTTGCCCAGAGAGAGAAGCATACCCCTCTCATTATGATTATTATTAAAAGGTATTAAATTCGAAATAAACAATTTCATTTACTTGAAGCACTTGAAGAAAGAGAACTTAGACATACTTTTACACCATGCTCATTTAACCGTGAAGGACAAAAATATTCCACCGTCTTTGAATGATGAACTAAACTAACATATGAAGTAAATTCATTCAAAGTAGAAAAGGGATCTTACATCAAATAAGGCATTACAACAAACATGGTGTTATCTTAGTAAAAGAAATTACATCATTAGAAGAGAAAAGGGAAGAAAACCAAACATGAGATTGAGATTAATACATCTAGGAGGAGGTCGTAGACATCACTGTGATCATTTTGCGACCAAATGACAGAGTCCAATTTGAATCCATACAATTTGTAACCCATTTATATGAAAAACTAAGACTTATCTCTTAAAACATATACTTAGATTACATAATCTGTTATGTTATTTGGGTAATATAAAGGCATGTTTTTTAAAAGAAAGCCCACTTAAGACACAGAGTATGCACAAATACTAACATCAGTTTATGTACGACAATGGGAAAGTAGATATTCAATACTGGGGTATTGGTAGGTGGAAGAAAATGTCTGAAGATACAACAGGAGCATAATAAATAACATTTTGCTTCTGTCCAACTTATGAGCATAGCATGTCCTTTATTTACTCTAGGAATATCACATACTCTTTAGCTATTTTTCTAAGTGCATGCCCATTGATCCGAGTAAGCCGCCGCTTCTTCAATATTGAAGAGAGAAGTTTGATGTTGTCATGCCCACTGTTGAAATTAGACTGGGCATTATTCTGTAGGGCTTGGGGCACAGAATATCCTGAATCAATCACAAGACAAACATCGGTATTAAGCAAGGACCACAGTAGAAGTAGCTAGAGATAATAAATAGAATAAAGGGCTATTTTTCTATAAAATATATTTTTCACTATGAACAAGATTTGTTTAATTGAAATTAAATGTCAAGAAGTTAGAGAGCATGATATAATAAGTTCGAGGAATGATTTGATGTTGCTATTCAACTGTTGAATAGATATTGAAGGCACATTACATAAGAGTCCTGGATTTTACATATCTGAAAGTAGGCGCACCATGAAAGTGATAATGATCCAATTAATAAAACCATTATTCTAACAAAATATTAAACATTCCCTCATATATACCAACGGGAGTAACTTTCTATTGGTTAGAAACCATTGTGCTGACAGTTATTTAACATGTGCTTTTTTAGACGCACTAAGACTATATATAGGATGCAGACCATTCTCATGCCAATGTCTAGAATAGCCAATCTACATAAGTCCTAGTAGCATGCTCCTACAGGATTCTTACAAATACTTACATGGGTATGTTCCCAATAGGAATGGATATAGATTAAGCTTACAAAAATGATACACTCTAACACTTCCACCGGAGCACAATTCAGCTCCCACAATCAGTAATCAGCATGAAAACTTAAAAAACAAGTTCGATAGAAATCAATGTTCAGGAAAGCATGAAGCATAAGCAAAGCGACAGACTGACGCTTAGAGAAATGGGCGCTTAAGCATTTTTAAAAATAGAACTGCAGGTTTTGGAGGTTGTAGACCAAGAATTAACCTGAGTAGACGATGCGGGACCTTGGGGAAGTTGGTCACATATTTCCTGAATGTGTATTGGCCTGTGTTGCCGCGACAGCATAGATCGGCAATCAGAGTAATCCTTTAGCACTAATATTGGCTCTCAAGTTTCTTCCACGTGTATATTCAGTCGTGAAACATGCACATACCAGAGGGAATCCATGGTAGAATAAACTGAGAATCAAAAAATCATAGCAACTTTTGTACAAATTACTACCATAACCTTGTTAGAGAAGGATTCGAAGAGAATCTACTACAAAGTATTGCACCATCATGATAACGACAGAAAGTATAGCTAACATTTAAGGTTTTTTTTAGTTGCCACTTTTGCAATTCTGAAATCTGAAGTAACTAAGGTCCGGGTTATTGACAACTACCGATTTTCGTGGGCAACACTTCCAACTCGGGTTAGGAACACTAAATTTAGTACTTTAGTATTCAGTTTTATCGCTAAATATGCAGCATGTAGTCATCAGATTTAGTACTTTAGCGAGTACAATTTTCTGTAATTCCTAATGAAAATTTCATCTCTGTGTCGTAACATAATTGACAGTGTGCATCAATTCAGCTGATTTAGTTACCTTGTGACCTTGTCCATGTAGGGAATGAGATCTTTGCAGCCTCCTTAGACTCTTATTGATCCTTGTTCTTCTTTCCTAAACAACATAAGGAAGAAAAATGTTCAGTATAAACATCCAACACCAAGACGAATACCAAAAATGTTGCAGCAAACTAACTAACCCTCCCAAGCAATGCTCTGCGGGTCAGTGGTGCAGCCACGCTCGGCATGGACTCTGTAGTCGGCGGAGTCCTGCTGCAGCTGCAGGTAGTCGTCCATGCTGGGCATGTCCAGCTCGAGAGGGCTAACTGAATCTGGACCAAGGTGTTAGTAGAAGTGTAGCATTAAACAATTGGCAGGCGGGAGAGTCCGGATGGATGTGAAGTGTATATATGTGAAGTTTGTCCTACCTGGGAGTCGATGTTGCTGAAGCTGGTGACCATGCTGACATCGCTGTCGCCGAGCACCTCGGCCTTCTTGCTGTCGGGCGCTGAGAACATGATGTTGGAGTTGGTGTCGTCCCAGGTGCTCATGGAGAAGATCCTCAAGAGGTCACTCGAGCCGTTGCCAGCAGCGATGCTCTCGCGGACGTCCTGCTGCCTCAAGAAGATCCACAACGAGCCCAGCCTCCTCTGCTGTGCCATCGAGTTGACGTTGCCTCCTCCATGTGAATGCAAGTAGCTGATTCCCATCCTTCCTCTCATTCCACCCATGCCGCCATTGCCTGTGCATCGTCAGAGTCACAAAGCCAGAGCACATCGATCAAAGCGCACAAGGGCCAAAAAAACACCCAACCAAATTTGGAAAATCAACATGAGGACTGAAGCAAGGATCATGACAGCATATAGGATATTTAAAGCATATAGGATATATAAAACAAATGCAACAGAGGTAGCTAGAAAGGAAACAAAGAAACTTGATCTATAGTAAAAATAAGAAACAACCTCCAACATAATACGCCTGCAAAACGAAATAAAAGAACTAATTAGGACATGGAACCATTGTAACTGCCATGTTGCTCTGCAGTTGGCATATTTGAGCTATTAAAAACTTCAAAATCTAGTACTTTTGTGTCCTAATGGCGACAACCAAAAGTTATCTATTGCGCATTGAACTGAAAAATAATGTGTATTCTCATGTATGCACCCCAAGTAGCAACCGAAACATTATTGAACTACAAGCAGCTCAAGATAATAGCTACAAAATCTTTCCAGAAATAAGTGACTAAGTAAAAAAATGAAAAACAAGAGAATGAGGTAAGTAAGAAATCCCAATTGAGCTAGAGAAGGAGACGTTGTGCCTGAGCCTCCAAGAACCAGTAGAAGAGTGTCCTCCCACTCTTCTTGTCCATGGTGACATGCCCAGAGAACCGAGAGATGTGTGAACTCCTTGGCTGACGAAGGAGAAATACCATCCTATCAGCTTCCTACTCGCTGTAACCGGCCAAGTAGCAGAGCCAACACCCTGGCAGGCAAAGACAACGCGTGCCTGAACACACACGTCACTAAGCCAACAAGCACACACACAAAAAGAACCCGTAGCAAGCAAATGCGGGGGACAAGAGGAGAGTTGGTACTGAAAAGAAATTACCATGGTGGCGACTGGATTTACAGCGAAAGCGACTCGAGGCGGTGGCGGCAAATCCAGATAGCATCTGCACGAGCATGTGAGCGTCACAAGATGCAAACATCAGACTCATACATACCTGCATTTCTTTATCAGCACTACACATCTCTAGATTTTTTCCAAAATGAGAGTTCAGTAAGCTACCATCTTCAGCCTCCTAATTTATCAGAGAGCAGCATTTGTTAGTTTTGAGAAACCTGAAAAAACAAAGAAACATTAGGCATATTTGAAAAATCATGTCAACAAAATGAGCGATATAGATGAAAAAACAACAAAACGAAATTCAGTAAAAAGAAACGCTGCTACAGTCCTTCAATATGTATTTCTAAAACTGATATATCATCTTCATAACATGTTTATTTTATATCCAAGGCTTGACTATAGCATAAAATTACACCATGGTAAATCTTGAGAAAGACCAAGCTTCAGTTTCAGGTATAATCGCTTGGTCACGAATTTTAGGAGACGGGAAGACAACGGCCAACGGTCACGAGATGAATTGTGCCTGCTGGTTCAGAAACACCAATACACCTAAGCGGAGGAACTTACTTCATGTCCGTGAGCCGCCGATACTACTTTACCAGTGCCAATGGGCTACACTGGTTCGTGCGTGATGACCGCGTTGGCCCAGTCCTTGATCTTCTCTGCAAATAAAACGATCATCTCAGCCTACACCTTTTAGGTGACAATATATGAAGATGTTAACAAAGCAAATTTCATAATTCATATCAAGAAAAAATATTCTAGAAAGTCGATTAATAGCAAGATCTTGCCCCTACCAAGCAAAATAAAAGTATACTCATCTGTTCATAAGCACATAAACAACTAAGTCAGCTACTACTCACATGAACTAAAAGGGTTGTAATTAATAGGATGGACTGCTCATTTGAAGAAATTTATTAACAAATACTTTGGATGGTTCAGGTGAATCTGAAATGACCCTTGTTCTCACCTCATCCTGCGGTCCTGCTCCAACCCCTCGGGCAAAACATCGCACTTTATCCTGCAGGTGATTGTCAGCCTAAGGAAGTAGGCAGCGATCTGTTGGCTTCTCGAAATGCGCTAACCTTTAGCCGTTGCCATGCTTTCTAATGGGCTTCAGAGGTCATCTACGCAAAGCAAGCACCTCTAAAACATCAGTGGTAGGTTCACGGAGGAAAATATAAACGATCTGAAGTCCATAGTCAACAATATAGACCATCTTCCAGGATCATACAAAGGAAGCCACTCCACTACAAGCTTTCTTTCCATAGCTACGGATGTGTGTAGAAGAGCCTGGAACAGGGCTCAAACAAGATAAATCAGCCAACCATACAGTTCCAAGGTAGCATCAGGATTAGTATTGATAACTAATCGGGTAATCGTCCAAGAGCGCAATGAACTAAGAGGAGATTTACCAGATTTGAGTGTCAGGGAGCGGAGAGGTGGAAGAGGGAGTTGGAGCCGAGCCGTGCCAGCCGGGATCTCGATCCAACTCCGGTCGGTCAGCCCAGTCATCGCAGGCGAGACCACCCCGCCCTAGCACGCCTACCTCCTCCTATCCTTCAATCCTCCCTCCATCTTCTCTCTCCTACAGGGACGGATCCATGGGGTCGCCCTTTGCGTGCAGGTTCCTAGCGCCGCCGGAGGCAAGCTCATCACGTCCAGCCGCTGCCCCTATGCTCAGCGCTTCCGCCGATGGCAAGGAGGAGGAGGCGGGCGAGGATCGCAGGCGAGACAACCCCGCCCCAGCACGCCTACCTCCCCCTATCCTTCAATCCTCCCTCCAACTTCTCTCTCCTGCAGGGACAGATCCATGGGGTCGCCCTTTGCGTGCAGGTTCCTAGCGCCGCCGGAGGCAAGCTCATCGCGTCTAGCCGCTGCCCCTATGCTCAGCGCTTCCGCCAATGGCAAGGAGGAGGAGGCGGGCGAGGAAGGCGGAGCTCGGGCGGAGGTGGGAAGGAGGCGGTTGCGAGCAAGGAGAGGCTGCGGGGGGAGGGAAGGAGGAGCGAGGCCGTGCGGCGGCTGTGGGGATCGGGGGGCATTGGGCAAGGGGGCTAGGGTTTATTTGGCGGCTAGAATGGGAGTGGGAGTGGGACGAGGCGAGGGTAGGATTGGACGCGGAACGTGCGGAGCAGATTGGCCAAAACTTCTTACACGGGGGGACGACGAACCCAGCCAACAAGCACACGACGCGAGCCCACCCGTCATTAGCCAGCGAAAATGACCGTGAGGTGAAAATTGGTTTTTACTGCTGTGAAGATCCAACGGCTCAAACGCGTCAGAGGGGCAGATCCGACGGCCGACGAAGCTGCAACCGGGGGAGCGTTCTGGAGGGGAGTTGGCTAGCCTCTTTTTTGTTTTAAATGCTTCGTACGCTTCACTTTTATATTTTGAGCTTGTATGTTGGCTAGTCTATATTAATGGTAAAATGCTTCAGGAACTTCAGTTATATATTTTGGAGTATGAATAATACTATAGTTTAAAGTGGGTTTGGAAGAGTGTCAACTTTAGAAATTAGTGATCCCACTATCTTGAAGGATGTCGAATCTCTGTACGATATTTATGAAAGTGGATTTGGAAGAGTGTCAATTTTCGTTAGTATTCCACTATTTCGGGAGAGGTTCGAGTATGAGAACAAAGTTGTTATCATGTTGCTACTGAAAAAATTATTATGAGGGAGGAATATGTGCTTGTAGGAGTTGCAATAATGTCAAGTTTCCTCTCTATGTGCTTAAATTTTTGAAGTTATACTTGTTTTGCCTTCCTATGCTAGTTGATTCTTATTCCTAAAAATTATGTGCTCACAAAATCCCTAGGCATAGGAAGTGGGTTAGATTTAAATATGCTAGTCATATTCTTCTTGATGCTCTTTTTATGTTTCAACTCTTATCTTTTATGCGAGCATCATTGAACTCTTCATGCCTAGCTAAAAGGCATTAAAGAAAAGCGCTTGTTGGGAGACAACCCAATGTTTATCCTTACTGTTTTCCTGTCTCTACATGATTAAGCTACTGTAGTAATCATGTTTTATAGCTTTTTTTCAATAAAGTGCCAAGTAAGACCTTTGGGAAGACTTGGGTGAAAGTTAAAGTGATCTTGCTGTAAAAAGCAGAAACTTTGCGCTCATGAGATTAGTTGTCATTTTTTACAGAAGAGAGATTTTGAGTTGATTCTTTTTGCATAAGATTAATATACAAATTCCTCACGTCCACCAATTTATTTCATAATTTTTGGAGTAGCAGAAGTATGGTTATTGTTTAGATCATTACAGATTGTTCTGTTTCTGACAGATTCTGTTTTCATTACATAGTTTGCTTGTTTTCTAGTTTATATGGCTTATATTTATCAATATAAATTGTAGGAATGATATGGTACAGTAGGCATTATGTGAAAACAATTATGAACCTTGTCTTTTACAGTACCAAAGTGCATGGTTTACTCTTTATCATACTAACCTATCTCACGAAGTTCCATTAAGTTTTGTGTGATTGAAGTTTTCAAGTTTTGGGTGAGATATCGATATGAGGAGAATAAGGATTGGAAAGACCCTAAGCTTGGGGATGCCCAAGGCACCCCAAGGTAATATTCAAGGAAGTCTCAAGCGCCTAAGCTTGGGGATGCTCCGGAAGGCATCCCCTCTTTCGTCTTCAAAACTATCGGTACATCTTACTTGGAGCTATATTTTTTTCATCACATGATATGTCTTTTGCTTGGAGCGTATTTTCAATTTTACTTGCTGTTTGAATAAAATTGGATCTGAAATATTGAATAAAAAGGAATCCTCCCATGGCTAGATAATTATTTGACTACTCAGTGTCTTTCACTCATATCTTTTGGAGTAGTTTGTGATTTACTCTTGCGCTTCATGTATATCCTATGAGTAAATGGGGGAATAAGTTGAATGTCATAAATCTGAATTTTTATATGTTTCATATGCTTATAACATGGTTAGTGATGACTTCACACATAGAAAGTATGAGGCATAAAAGTTGTTGAGAGTTGGCAAACGTAGTTTTTGTCATCGTTGCAATTAATAGGAAGTAATAAGGAAAGAGAGGTTCACATACAAATATATTATCTTGTACATCTTTTATGATTGTGAAGC